TTGCAAATTTTCTAGATTCGGTCACTTTTTAATCGAATCAATAAAATAAAAACTAGTGTTGCATAACTGTACTGAAAAGTTTACCCGTTGATTAATCGTTGTATGGAGATGAGTGTGATGTCAGTCAAACATGAATAATCAGTGAAGGAAAATACTTTAAGTATGCATTCAATAGACTGTGCAATGCCCTAATCAGTATATATGTAAATGAATGCTGCAATCGTTAACACGTTCTGTGTTAATATTATAAGTATGAACATCAATGGATCTCTTTTAAACGATAAGTCTCAGTTTGCAAACCTCATCACATTCCACATTATCAGGGCATTGTCTTTTAGTGCGAGGCTGTTCCCAACAATTCGCTTCAGGTCGAAGCTGACGTATTTCCCAATTTTCATAAGAAACCTAATAGAATTCTTTCTGCCCGCCATGCCTCGCTCTATTGCACTTCTCTTGTTGCATACACAACTAAACATTATTAGATACATACTTTAGGATTTCATTTGAATGCACTTTAATTCGTTTTCGCTTTTTATTCTCACGAATAGTTCATTTTCAGAATACATTCAAGGCAGTCGTATGTAAAAATGTTTCATGTTTCGTTCCCATTAAGATATTCGTATTCGCCAAGTTTGATCCTGCCATATTCGTGGGTGGTCCTGAGGGCAGTCATAAAAAGTCAAACGTGGGGTAAATAATCCCGGATGGATGGTGTATTATGCGTTTGTAGCAGCATGAGATACGAACAGTGCCCAACTGTTCCTATGGTTCATACTGTTTGCTCACATCAGTTTGATAATTGCTTTTATAGTAAACTGCTGCTCGTCGATGAAATTAATTTTATTTATTTTGGGATTTGATGACTTTGTTTTTGAAATTCATTATTATTGAACATATTTGATGGCAATTATTGAAAAGATGTGGATTAGAATGAACTTGTTCATTTGGTCAGACATCAAAGTTTGCGTCGAGGAAGGCCACCACGATTAGTGTCAGCTATGCGTTAACGCTTATTAAATTCGAGCGAGGGCAGAAAGAAACGAAATTCAACCTTTTCAATCATTAGCAGCTTATTGCTGTTTACATCATCATACACTGGAGCAGTCAGCCCCGTAGAAAACCTTCAAGAAAACCTTACGTTGAAAGTGTCAATACTGCTAATCTTGCTTAGCGATCAGATAAGATATCTTGAAAAATCAATGCGCTCACCGTGCAAAGTGCTAGCTGGAGAGAGGAGATGGTTTTTTCACGAACCATTGATTGCTTGTCGCTTCTCGAAAATGGCTTCTTGCATCAAAGTTGTTGTTAGCATGCAGCAAATTAACATGTTTCAAAATGATTCATTTATAGGATAAGTTACCTTACTTTTATTTCGTTAATTGGTGATCTGTCATTGATTTAGTATTATAGATAGATCGTGGTTAGTTAATAAGCATACTATTGAAGATTTATACGAAGAGATAGATTAGAAGTGTATTTCAGTGTGTGTGCCTTGCATCTATGCATCGGATGGTGTGCATTCGTTGCGAGTGGGGGCGAACTTAGCTGTTGTTACTACTAGTTGGTATAGTTTTAGTTGTGCTATTTGTTGTGAGTGAATAAGATCGGGAATGCGAATAAGAATAAGCTAAGGTGTGTGTTGTTGGAAGAGGAACGTGGGTGTTGCTGTTTCATTATTTCATGCGTTTCGTTTACAATCACATCAATTGCTTTGTGATAAGTTCGACTGAATTTCATTTGATACATTTTCAAAAGCAATTTTATCGTGTGATTATGATTGAAATACTGAGGTGATTTTTGCTTATCATAGTTAGTTTCTTTAGTTCAGTTTAATTAACTAAGATTTATTCTCTCAAGAATCGAATTAAAATCAGCATGTTGCGTTATTTGTTAGTGATATGTTACTTGCCCAAAAAATCAACGGAGAATGCCTATCAAAAAATCAACGGAGAATGCCATTACTGATTTCAGTAATGCTTACATATTGTGCCATAATGATTGCTGTTTCATTTTTTGATGATGTCACATTCAAGTAAAATAATGTGGATTATTCTAGTGTTGTTTTGTGATCCAAGTAATTAGCAGATATATTGTTACTTGTGGCAGTAGAAAACTCGACTTATGTTTGCTTTATTCAATTCAGTTCGTTTTGCCTAACTACAATCGATTTTAGTGGATTTTTTTGCGCTTTTTTGAAAGATGATGTCTGCTTGTTCGTTAGTATATGCATGTTTTTTTGTGCATTTCAGCGCGATATTCCATCGAAAACTGTCGAGTCCAAGTACATTGTTACTCATAGCAATTCTGATGATTCCTCTGATTGAATCTCGTCTCTGAAAGTCAGTTCGAAATATGTAGCAATGTAAAGAATATCGCGGCTATTTTTGAATGATTTGAAGCGTTGAATTAATTCATTTTGCATTCATCCGTGCGTCTACGCAGGAATTAAACACATAAACTTTCATTTAATTCATACATCGACCTGCTATGCACGATCTTTTTCTACCGAAATCTTTTGGTGATATCGACTCTTTGCGCTATGCAATGAATGATTTTTACATTGAAATGAATGGAGTGCTTACGAACAAAGTGATATTTGTATGGGGCTCAACACGAAATTTATTGAGGCTGTAGTCACTTGTTCACGCGGAACTTGTGCAGCTGTCATATTCGGTACCGATTTTGTTCTAGAAATTAAAGGTATGATCACTTGTGCTGCTTGTCCTCGTCATCAGTATCGCCAATACCATTACTGTTACTAATTATCTTCGTTTCATTCCAACTTGGTATTATTCGATTACATCACCTATCATTTATTGCAAAAATCGCGCTTTAATTTCTGTATAATCACCTGAAACCTAATGAAGTCGTTACAGTTTCACAAGTATTTTTCATTTTGTGCAGGTCTCTATAAAAATCATTAGGTTTCTTCTGTCTTCTTGGGCAAGTACGTTGTATTTAAGAACGGTTGAACTTACATTATGACTATGGATTTTTATCAGAGATTCTTTACCTGTCATTCGACAGTTATTAGCATGACACTTTTTCACATCATTCCAAGTTAATTACCGTTTTGGACGAAATGCGAAGATTTATTTATTTTTTATTTCTCGAAATTACACTGTTAAAGTTTGAAAAGTTTTTTTTTGTCACAACGGAAAGATTTATTTCGATGCTTTGTGTTTCTAGAGTAAGCATGCGTTCGTTTAATTCTTGGGCTAGACGTCTGTCTGCCTGGTTC